CTTTTTGAATGTAGGATAGAACAAGTTACAGGTCCTCCTCAGGGAAAAAGAAAATCCATGGAGAAAGGCATGTGCAGCCACATTCCTACATTCTCCCTCTTTGTTTAACAAATGAGCATATGGATTGCTTTGTGGGAGAAGACAAATGTGCTTTTAGACAATCCTGGCCTGAGACAGATTGATGCCACTGCAAATTATTTTTAATCCAGATGAGGTTTCCGTGTGGTGAGTCAAGAGGTATTTGCTGTGTCACTTGGGAAAAAAGGTACAGGAAAAGGTCACAGGCTCTAAGCAAGGTATAAAAGCAGATGGGCAAGTTTCATATATGAATTAAAGGGAGAGATAGGCTGCCCAGGGAAGTGATTGGGTCACCATTTCTGAAGGGATTCAAAAGAACACAGGCCACCACCACTAGAGCAGCAGGCAGAGGTTTTCTGGTAATTAAACTGCAAGGACAGATCACCAATCAGCCTCCCTCATGACCTGAACAGTGCCAGTGGGATGGAATGAGACAGGAACAACTTGGAGAGAGTTCCTTGTGAAGAGATTCTCTTCAGTTGAGGAGGACTACCAGAATCTCTCCCTTTAATAAAAGCACTTGGAATAACTTTATTTCATATTAAGATGCAGTGCTATTTAATTCTGTGTCTATCTTGAATGCTTTGAGTGCTTCAGAAGAGAAAAAAGGTGACAAATATCAATGTCAGCTGCTGAAATAATTGTTTTGATTGTCATGCTGGACTTGGGGTGAATTCAGTAACTACACAGGGCATATATCCAGTTGAGCAAATGAGAGTGGATCTGAGTGGGGTTAGAGCCTTGTTTCTGCCTTCTACCCAACTTTTCAGAGCTCTGGGAGGCACAGGACAAACTGTGAGTTTTTGTGGGACCTCCTTCAAGTCATGCTGGAAGTGGCAGGACTGTCCCAGTTCCTGTCCTGGTGTTTTCATGGGGCTCTAAAGGGCAGAGGCATCTGTAGGAGGTTTTAATGTGATAACAACTGTGATGAATTAGGATCTCTCTCAAATACCTCTAATCTCTCCTTGCAGGGATTTGCATGAAAACACTTTGGGAACTCTGCTTGAAACAGTAGCTTCAGGTTAAGAATTCTGGTTAGAACAGGAAGGTTTCAGAAGAGGCCAAAGGAGATGAGTTTTACAGGATCCAGCAAGTTTCCTGTAAGTTGTGAGTGCTTTTGAAATGACAGCAGACTATTAGCAAAGGCAGCTCTGTCAGGAAAGGCTTTGACATCAGCTGCATTAAGGGGATGCTGTCAAATAAGTTCCAGGGATGGTTTCTAACCTTTATGACTCTCCTTAACAGTGTTCCTTTTAAGGTGAAATTGGGATCTGATTTCTAGCTCATCTCACAGTGAGTAAACTCATCTCCTTTCACCTGGCAGTCCTTTATTGATTTTCTTTCCTTATTACTAATGGTGCTTGAAAAATAACTTGAAGTTTATATCTGTGGCCTTATGCCTGCACTTGCACTATGTCTGCTGTTGTGGTTTTTCTGAAAATAAGCTTTACTGCCTTTCACACACCATCTGCTGCTTTTAAAAAAGGCATTAGGTATGACTTGCCAGATAGTCAATGACTCTCCTTACATCTGCCTACAATCCCATTCTAAAGCCTCTTGGCCTGTGCTGTTCCTGCCTCCCCAACCCAAAAAAAAAATAGTGTAACAGGGCAGATCCTGGAGAAATTGCCACATTTCATGGACAGGTGTGTGTACATAACCTAACACAGGAATAATGTTTATGGGACCTGCATTAAACATGGCTTTTCAAAAAACGTTTATTTTTGCTGGAAGAAAAATGAAAATAAATGGCATGCAGAGGCCATTTCTCAGTGGATTGTAACCATTGTCCCTTTTTTGCAGCTCCCTGATTCAAATTTTGGTCAAAATCAGTTTGCAAAACTTGAAATTTTACTGACTCACAAGCTTGACATGCTCCATTTTGTAAGTGCAAAGAAACCCCTGCTTAGCCTTAACATTGTGTGTATATTAACACTTCTATCTGCTTCCTCTATGCAAGGATTTGTTCAGGTTGCTGCAGTTTAACACATTAGGGCAGCAGCATTTCAGCTTCTCTGTGACCATATGTTTTGTAGGTAATTTCCCTCAAATCACTGCAGTTACATCAATGCTACAACTTCCCACTTGATTTTTGATTTTATTGCTGATCCCATGCCATTCTATTAAGATTAACAACCACCCCTGGTACTCAGTGGCAGGCAAAAAAACCCAATTTAATAATTTGTGGGATTCCCTTGCTGCATGCCAGGGTGCTCCATTTCACTTTTCCAGTGTGCTTGTTATGTTAGGATGAGCTCAGCTGTCACTCTGGATTTTCTATTTCCTCTATTTCCACATTTTTGAAGCTCTAAGAAAATCAGGCAGCTTCAACCTGAACCCTTGCATTGTGCTTCAGCTAAACCAGACTTCACCTTCTTCCACCACAGACTCATACATCACTCTCCAGCAACCTACATGAGCTAAACCAGTCATCCTAATTAATTTCCACTGAAGTGAAAGGCAGCACAGTGCAGATATAATTTCCCTGAAATCTGTTCAAGGCCTTTTTGTTGTTGTTGTTTCAGTGGACTTCTAGTCATGTTGTAAGCCTAAACATTAATTTATTTAATCCATGCCTAGTTCTCCTCATACTCTAATATATTTTTACACATTATAGTTCAGCTGATAGACAGTGTCCTGTTGAGGTGAACACTCACTGCTCTGTCTGGGGATGGACAAAAATTCTGTTGCATGGCATGAGCTGGGCCTTAGCAGCCAGGCCCTCTGAAGTAAATGCCTGGGACAGAACAAAACCAAACAGAAAATATGCACAAAAATCACCAGCAATGAGGAAAACTTGTCTGTCTCAGAAACGACTCAACGGTGTTTTCAAATATGTTTGTGTGCAAGGGGAAAGGGATGGTGAGTGGAAGCCACTGGGTAAAAAAAAAAAAAGAAAAAAAAAGAAAAAAAAAAAAAGGAGCAAAGCATTTGCCTCAGGTCTGATGGCTTTGGTCAGAGAGAACTGTTGATTTCTACCTGGAAATGTTTTGGGCTGTCAGAGCTGGTTTCTGTACCTGTCCATGGTAAACTGGGGTTGGAATTAGATGATCTTTGAGGTCCCTTCCAACCCACAGCATCCTGCAATTGTATGAATTGAATTAGTGCTGAGGGAGGAGCTCAGATCCATGAGCCTGGTCCTGATGCAGGACTGGGCACTGCACCAAGCTTGGTTCCTTCCATGTGCCCTGTGTGCTGTTCCCACGTCCTGCTGCTGTCACTCTGGCCAACACCGGGTCTGGAGTTGCCTGCTCTGTCTGGTGGCAGGTGTGTTCTCAGCCAGGACACTGAGGGCTGCCAGTCCCCTGGCATGGGGTGCAGAGGGGACCAGGGCCCATGTCCCCAGGCTGGGACTGTTGTCCCACTGCTGTCACTTGCTCCCTCCTGGCTCTCCTGGACATGCTGGCTACAAAGACAGCTTCTGCAAGGAGTTACATCTTCAAATCTGTCTGTGCTGGTGCTGGCATTTCCTGCTTGGGGGATGAAATCCAGACTTGCAGCACTGCCAGGGTACCCAGAGGCAGCTGCAAGTAACAAAACACCCTTGAGTTCACCTCTGAGTGTTTGTGCTGAGATGTGCAAAGCTGCAGGGTCATGGCAGAGGCTTTAGTGACAAGGCACAAATTTCCCCAGCAGCAAGGGGAGGTCACAGGAGCGTCCCTTCCCCTGTGGGCTGGGTTTCCCATCTCCATGCTGGTGGCTGCAGCTGCCACTGGTGGAAAAGTCCACTCCTGAGCACGGCAGCCACACTGTGGAACAGAACTCTCTGTAGAGATGGAGAAATGGGAGCAGACAGAGAAGAAACCAATGGGAGGAGGGAGGCTACAAAAAGTCAACAAGTTCATAACTCCGCTTTGATGAGGTTTTTTACAGAAATACTTCATAAAAAAAAGGATAATTTTAAGGCAATTGGATCACCTCAAAGCACTTAAAGTCGGTATGACCTTTGGCTTTTTTTTTTTCTTTTCCTATTCTTGGCTGTTGGGTGAGATGTAGAAATCCAGCTGATCTGTAAGGTAAATTCTCAGTTGCCATGGCAATATGTCTCCTTCTTGTTCTCAGTTGGAAGAGAGATTGTTCCATGCTGCTATTTCATGTCTAGGGCAACATTCTTTGGTGGCAGAATTTCTTTGTTTCAGTACATTAATGCTACAACTCTGTACTTCCTTTCCCAGCTTAAGGAAACATGGCTCAGCCTGAACATTCTTCCGTAAAAATACAGTTATTTGCATTTTTTTTTTTAGTTTAAGAACATTCCTTGAGTCTGGAGGTAAATGTTGATCCATTTTGATAGCTTGGGTGCAGCAACATCCTGATGCTGTGAAGTTTCACCATTAAGTGAAAATAAACTGGAATTACTCCACCTTTGCTTCCATGTGGTTTGAACAAACTAAAGTATCTCCTGAACTAGCAAGTCTTATAAAAGAAAAGCAATTTTAAAGTACATCCTACCTATAGTGTATATCTTACATATTAGATTTCTACAGATCTCCAAGTGCTTTCAGTCAATTCAGATTTAATTCCTAAGGACTGCAAATTCCTAATTTTGATCAATTCTTACTTAAGGCCACAAGAGGAGTTTCTCCTGTTTCTCTTGCTGTCTTTAGCTCTTTGTTTTGTCACAAGCCACCTTCACCTTATCCTAAGGTGGGGAGCCAAGCAGGCATCCTGGTTTCTGTTGGTGCAGTCTGCAGCAGTGGGAACAGGCTGCAAAACAGCTCTGGAGGGTTAGGAAAGCACAGAGACAGGAGTTGGCCAAGGGTGATGCAGCTTGGAGGTTTCACAGCATGGAGAGCTCCTATATTTGGATAAGAAGGACCCTTTTCTGGTCATGCTCCCTGTTTCAGTTGTGTGTGACCTTCATTGCCTTTCTAACCTGCTTGGTTTCACTGAACTCAGCTGGCTCTGCTTCCCAGGGGACGTCACACAAGGGTGCAGCACCTGTGGCACTTTGCACAGCGCTTCTTCTTCTTCTTGGGGTGGAAAATGGTCATGATTGCCTCATCAAAGACAGTCTTAAGGCCTTTCTGTGTGAGTGCTGAGCACTCCAGGTAGCACTGGGCTCCGATCTGAAAGAGAGGAGGGAAAATGAGAGTCAGTATCCACTGCTGGGAGACACAGTGTGATGCTGTTCCAGCATCTTTCTGCATTTAGAAAGGAGTCAGGCCATTTCTCTGTTTGTATCTGGCTGCCTGTGGGGTGAAGCTCATGTGGTCTTCCTGAGGAATCAGCATCAACATGAGCATCTCACCACATGGGGGTGATTTGATTGGCTGCAGGAATTCCCTGCACAGCCCTCCAGAGAGAGGAGAGCTGCACCCATGTTTGAGGGCTGGACCAGGAGCTTGGCCTCCTGCCTGTGCAGCTGGGGAGGCTTCTGAGGAAATGCTGGGTTGGAGTTGAACCCTTCACACACTTGGCTCTTCTCCCCTGAACTGTCACTCTTGTGTCCTGCCTCCTCCAGACCCAGGGAGCTGCTACCTGGGGAGGGCTTCCAGCTGGTTTCTGGGAATGGGGAAACATCATTTTGAGATAGGAGTCTCCTGGGTATGCTGGCACGACACAAACACCCACAGAGGCCTGGGAAGGCAGCCTCAGCTTATTCAGCAACCTTGTGGCTTATTCAGCTTGTTCTGCTCATGGATGCTCTGATTTTGAGGGCCAGGGACAGTAATAGCACCTGCAGCATATAAGCTGACAAGGCCAGGATCCAGAATCCTGCACCCCAGGGCTTGGGGAGTGATTCTGACCCCCTACATTTCCAGGAGAAATGTACAGTCCCACAGAAACTTTGGGAGCACCTTCTCTGCTGCCTGCAGTGCCATGGATAAGTGGGAATCCAGTTGTCTGTGCTTTTGTAAGGGAAAGGGAGGAGTTTGACAGGAGGTGACTTGACTGCAGAGAGGGGTTTGCCACATGCATCTCCTGGCAGAACCCTGAGCAAGAAACACTTGACTTAGATAGGTAGTAAAATCTGTTTTGATGTCCATTTGCCACCTGCTGCCCTGTGTTCCTCAATGCTTCCTTAGACCTTGGTCATGGCACCTGCCAGAGATCAGAAGTGTTTGGCTCATTCTCTCTGATACATGGTGTGATTTTTGGGATTGTCATGTGCATGCCCAGGAGTTGGACTCATTGACCCTTTTGGGTCCCTTCCCACTCAGGATATTCTATGTTCCAGCTGACACTGCCCAAGCTCAGGGGTCACAAGGTGTGCCTGGGTCCAGCCTGTTTGAACAGAGGCTCCAATCTCTGTCTGGGGCCAAGGGGCCTTGGGGCAGCCTTGAAGGAAGGAAACCCAGAGGAAAGCTGTGATCAGTCAGCCTCATGTGGCATCAGAAGAAGCTGTTTTACCTCCTTTGCCAGCTTCACTCCATGCTCATAGGTGAGTGGTTTCTCCTTCATGTAAAGCAGCCGCGCCAAAGTTTTGGGATCATCCCGGAGATCAATCTAGGGCAAAATACACAAAATCTGGGCTGTGATTCTTGAGGCAGATACTCATGGCTTTACATCAGGGCAGCTGTATCACTCCTCAACTCAGGTGATACTTCAGAAATTAATTGTACATTTACTTACTTTTTTTTTTTCAGTTTACCACGAATTAGCTCTCCTTTGCAGGTTGTTGGGTGTGGTACAGGAAAGAAGCCCACTGGTGGGGGAAGCTGCTGCAACCCTGCACTGCATCACCCAAACCCCACCCTGACAGGCCAGACTGGCACAGCTCAGTCTGGCTTGAAACAAAATCCTTTGTTTCCACGGAAAACATCAAAGTGAAGTATTCTGGCATTTAAAAACTGTCCATTTTCAGACTGTGTGATTCAAAGGATAATGCTTTTGTTTTTAAATGGGTGTTTTAGATTATTCCAGTGTAGAAAACAAAGCCAGTGTTTGAATTATTTGCCTTTCCTGTGGCATGAAGACTTTGGTTTTGACCAGCATTTGATTTGTTTCTCTAATTTGACTTAGGTTACTGCCCAGTGCTCTGACATTTTCCATGTGGTTGAATCTCTACCCTCACAGTCTCTATCCACTCTGTGTCTTGGTAACAAACCCATATTTAAGGCATTTTTATTTGATTGACAGATTAATAGATTTTTAAGGCCAAAATGAAGGGGTTTGATCATTCAGTCTGACAATCACTGTAACACAAGCAGGATGGTGAGTCACCAGTTGTAATGTTGATACAAAAGCATGAAGGGAGGCTACTTCCTTCCCATGTCATTTAGCTGATTACTCCCATTCTTAAAATTGAGTTTGAAGTTTAGCTTCAGCTTCTAGCCACAAACTTTGATTTTTTTTTTCTCCTCATCAGAGACCTGTATGAAAACTTTTCTCTCTATAGGTATTTATGACACATAAATAATTAATATACATTTGAATAAAAAGATGAGATGAGCTTTGCCAGTCTGGACACCTGCACATTGGATTCCTTTCCTAGTCCCTGAAATTTCCTCTAATGGGAAAATCTGGCTGAATTTCCTATGAGTTAAATAGGAAACCTTTCCAGATGCTCAGGAGAGGCTTTACCTGTGTTCCTATGAGGACATAAGGCACGTTGGGCATGCAGACTTTCAGCTCAGGCACCCACTCCTCCTGCACGTTGTGGTAGGAGGCAGGATTCACCACGGAGAAGCAGATCAGGAACACATCTGTGTTGGGGTAGGACAGGGGTCTCAGCTGGTTGTAGTCCTCCTGCCAGGGGACAACAGCAAGAGTGTCACAAGGAGGGGATGGCTGCAAGGAGGGCTGTCATGTTGGGTTTGATGGAGTGCTCAGCACTGTCCAAACTCATTCACACTTCCCAAGCTCCAGGTGGAGGAAGGGGGAACCACCCCTCAGAGGATAAGGGTGCTGATTTATCAGCATTTTACCAAAAAGAGCTGAAAGATGTGCCATCTCTGGGAAGCGTTCAAAGTTGGATGGGGCTGTGAGCAAGCTGGTCTAGTGAAAAGTGTCCCTATCCCTGCTGGGGTGTGTGTGTGTGTGTGTGTGTGTGAAATTGATAATTTTGAAGGTTCCTTCCACCTCAATCATCCTGGGATTGTGTGAACAAGTCTTGTTTGTGTTATCTGTGGTGATGGTGGCACAGAAGGTGATGCTGAACAGTCCTGCACAGTGCACAGCAGTGTGCCAGCCAGCAGAAGATGTCCTGAAATCAGAAAGCAGATAAAATCCAGCCTGCAGTACCTGGGTACTCACTGTGGGTGATTTAGTGTTTCCACAGGCCATGGATGATGGAAGGAGATGTTTTCTCCATAGTGGTGAAGAGGGTGAATTTTCAGACACTTGAATCACAGCTGTGCTATGTCACGGGCTGGCTTTGATAGCTGAGTTTCAGGGAAGAATTTAGGTCTGTTTTCAGGCTTGAGAAGCTGAGAGCAAGCAGAGGTTTTGCAAGCAATGTGAAAGGGATAGCCTGGCTCTTTCTGACAGTGGGAGCATTTGTAGCTGTGTCTGGTGGGTACTGTTCAATGAAACCTCCTAAAAAACTTCAGTGCAATGAAACAGATGCTTTTTAGAGAGGATACATCTGCTCCAAAGGCTTTTTTAGGGGTTCCAGAATTAACAAAAGGGAAAGGAACACAAAGTTGGAGTATGGGAAACAATAATACATGCTGCTGTCAAGCCTGACTGCAATGTAGATCTGCAGTTTATGGTTTCTGCATTCTGGACAAGTCTCAAATCTCTGCAGTCTGGTTGCTTTTGGTTATAACTGTGTGAAAACTCAGCTGGTGTGATTTGCTTTGCAGATACAGACTAGTTAATAACAGAAAATAAGGTTAATAAAAGGGGGAAAAAAGACACCTGGGTGCTGCTTCTCAGACTCGAGAACATTTATTTTAGGCAGGGAAAACCCACATTAGGGGCAGGAACAATGCAGGCTGCTGCCTGTCCTGCAGGAGAAGGTGATGCAGGACTGGATCAGTGTGTGTCAGAATAGATGATGTTTTAGTGCAGCCTTACTTCTGCCTTGCTTTGATTGGGTCAGCTAATGAGAGGACTTAATTGTGAAGTGAGACTGGCAAATCACCTTTCTGAAGTCTCTTTTTCACTGACTATACAGTAATAAATTGACCCAGACTCCTTCTGGATCAACCATACTTTCCAAAATATACCAATGAATTACTCAAAACCAGTTTGCACCAAGTGTTTCTAAAAAAATCCTCAAAAATTTAATTATTTATTCTGAAAGGAAGCATGAGCCCAAATTTAGCTCTGTGTCAGGAAAGAAAAGTTTAAAAAAGCATCCTGAAACACAAACAAAATGTTTTGTTTTGTCTAACTGGATGTTTATTGTCCCAAACCCACTTTGACAGGAAGAATAAATTCTCATTTACTACCACCAGCCCTCACAGCCACAGTATTTGGGGTAAAACCAGAGTATTTTTCAAGTGGCATAACTGTGTCTTTACAGTGGCACAGAAAGATCTGAAGAAGGATTTACAGGAGGAGGTGTTTGGATGTATCACCTCCCAAGAAAGTGTATTAGGAACTGAAGTGGATTCAAGGAATTGCAGGAAAAAAACCCCTCAGAGATGCTTGTGGGGTTTGTGGGGTTTGTGCACCAGTGATGCAGCTCGTGAAGAAGCAAAGTCAGTGACAGGAGATTTATCCAAGGCTCTGGAGGGGGCAGCCAGCTCCCAGCAGAGGTTAATAGAGACAAAGTGGATTCCAAGCTGATGGCATCAGAGGAGAAATTGCATTGTAGAGACAGTTTAATGTGGATGCTGTGGGTTAGGAAAGCCTGGCCTGATTACGGGACATTGTTTGAAGCCAGAACATTAAACCTGATGTTGATTGTGGCACAGCCACCGCGGGCTGACACCAGCAAAGAGCTTTCCTGTGCTTTTGGTTTAGCTCCCGAACCAGCCACGTGGTGGCAGCAAGCCTCAAGGAATCCTCGTCCAGGAGGTTTGGGAAGAAATTGGCTAAATATAGCCATTTTCAATATTCCAGACGTGCATATTTAGAGGGGCTGGGACTTACTGTACCATTAAAACTACAGATTAAAACCATGAGCGCTCTGCTTGGCTGTGACAGCTCCAGGAGCCTGTGTTTAATTTCATTTTCCTTGTTCCTTCCGAGTCCCTAGAAGATCCTTTTTCAGGAAGAGCATTCCTGATTTGAGCTATCAGCACAGAGCATTATGTAAGTTGTAAGCAGGGACAGCCATGCATCTCATAGCTGAGGCCTCACCTCCCACCAGGGCACATGGGATTTTTCACAGACAGGTTAAAATACAAACATCATGGGTAAGAGTTGATCTGGGCTCCTGTACATGAACAGGATCCTCCAGACCACATCAGACAAGGACCCCTTCTCTGTACCTGCTCTCCAGGAGAAGGCCTGATAGCTTTGCAACAAATAAAAATAAAATAAAATAAAATAAAATAAAATAAAATAAAATAAAATAAAATAAAATAAAATAAAATAAAATAAAATAAAATAAAACCTTGCCATGGACCTTTAGGAAAGACAGCCCTACTGGGTAATTTCTCCATCAGAGATGGTCAATCTCACAAATAATGTAAAAAAGGGACTGAAGGTTTCCATGGGTATGGGGCCCATCCAGGGAGGGGTGCTGTAGCAAGTGACAGTAATGTTTAGGAAGAGACTCGAGTCCTTGTGGGCTTGAGCTGTGGCTGATCAACAATTGATTTTTATTAATTTATTAATTGTCCCAGCTCATGCTTGCATCGTGCTGCCTGCTATTTAGGGAGCTCGAGGCTTCCCAGTTAACATTGCCTGGCCACTGGTTTGGTCTGGAAATGCCAGTGCCAGACCTGGCCCTGCTGAGTTATTTGCCTGTGACTGTCAGAGCCAAGATCAGTTGGTGCTCCTCCCTCCCCTCCACCTTGGCCATCAGCTCAACAGTGTTTGGGCCCCAAAAATGCAGCAGAATTGGCTTTTTTTTTTGTTTTTATGTTGTTGCTGTGCTGATCTCTTGTACACTCTGCTAAAGCATTTTGCACCTGAGTCCAGCCCAGCAAAAAGACCACAGTTTTTCCTCCTAGGACCATTTGTGCCAGGGATAGAGAAAGCCAGATACCTCAAATCTGGGGTCTCTGCCAGCTCTCCCTTCAGGCTGACAGAGGGTCCTGCTGCAGGAGTACATTTTTCAATTGTTATTTCATTAGCATATGTTTTATAGCATCACAGTGTCAAGGGCTATTTCTGGCTATGACTTCACACTGATGCCTTTGGAAAGCCACACAGCCCAAGGAGAAGGAGGGAGGAAACAACCCAGATGATCTGTTGTTATAACTGGAGCATGTGGGAAGCATCATCCCTCCAGCCTCCACGGGGACAATCCAGTCATCAAGGGCTGATTCACACTCTGGGCTCTGCCTGGAGAGCCACGTCCTCTGGAGCAGGGTCTGGAAGGGACCTGGGCTTGGTGAGCTACAGAAAGGGTTTGGAGGCAGGTGGTGAACTGCCTAGTTTGAAGCAAAATGCTGAAGAATGGATGGAGGGGTGAGGCTTGTCAAAGAGACAGCTGAGTGTTCCTTCTGGCTCAGGAGGACAAATGAGAGGAGGTGTTGCTGCAGAAATGGGTGGCAGGTGGAACTGTCAGCCCTACAAAACAAGTAGGAATATTAAGGCACGGGGTGAAAACTGACTGGGAACTGAATATAACTCCAGTCTGGCTTGCAAAGGCTTGCAGGGCTGATGGACCATGGCACAGGCTCTGAGCTCAGAGTTTCTGAACACAGAATAAAAGACTGAACAGGATTTGGACATGGGGCAAGGGCTTGGGTCATCAGTTTTCACCATGTGGATAGGAAAGATGTGTGGTCTGTAAGGGCCACCAAAGCAGCTAAGACTGGTGCTGCCTACAGAAACATGATAAGAATAAAACTAAAGAAAGTGAAACCCAAAGCATCAAAGCCCCAGTTCTGCTGAGTGCAGGTTTTTCTGGAAGTGACAGTCTGTTCTGGTGTGGGTTTTTTGATCTCTCTGCACAGTGCTGCAAAGTATGTTCTGCCTGAAGTGGCCTTTTGCAGACAGCAGGGCCTCCTTCTGCACTGTTTGTGCCTTTCATAGCAGTCAGTCATGGCCAAAACCAGTAGAGCCAAGAAGAGCTCCTGGTGGAAGCAAAGCCCTGCATCCAGGGCTGCTGGAACCCAGAGGGAGTGAAGCAAGTTCCCAAATCTGCTTTCTCTCCTGCTGGCTTCAGTGTCAGCTGCGACTGGAGGAGCTGGTGGATGTGGGTTACAACATTCCCAGTCTGTGAGGAACCTGGGGCCTCCTCCCTCTGCTCTCAGCAGATGATTTTTTGCAAGGTTTCTGTGCAGGCTATGTCCCTTTCTTTATTTCGTCACTCACCGGCATTTGGAGTCAGGAGAGGGAAATTTCACCACAAAAAATGTGTTGCTCCCTGTACTTTCCTCTGCCTTTCTGCTGGCAGAGCAAAGCAGTGAGAAATAATTTCTTCTCCTCTCCAGGGGGTGAAATTGTTCTGCAAGCTTTGAGTGCAATCACAGCATAGCAGAGTGTGGACAGTGGAAACAGCAGAAGAATTCTAAATGCAAGTAAGCATGGGAAACAGACTCTCTAGTAATGGACACCTTGTCCTGGGAGAAGAATGTTGGCATGTTGGGATGGATGGAAATCTGGCTGGGTTACCACTTGGAAAGTAAACAGCTGGTTACTGATAGACTGGTGCTGAATTACACCAGTTTTCTGATCTTGAAAAAGGGAATTATTCTATCTTGAATGCCACCATGTGGTAAAGGGAAGAAAACACTCACTACATAAAGCATGGTATTTGCAGTAGGAGGTGGATATATGGGGGGTTGCACAGCCTCATCAAACTTTACTTTTTTTGATTAGGCAAAACACAATCTTAGGGATGAATGTATCTGTGTGTTTTTACTGCTGAAACAGAATGAAAACAAAAGGGAGAAGGTCAGCAGTTCAACCATTACAACTCAAACCTGACTGTTATTATTTGTGAAAAAACCCCAGCAAACTCCACAAACATTATGAACAACAAACCCCAGTGTATGACAGTAACAAACAAACCATGGGGAAGGAAAATGATAAATGTTTTGCAGTCCTTTACCTGCCCTGCAGTGTCATAAAGCCCCAGCAAGTGTTGTTGTCCTCCCACAGTCACGGTTACTGGAAGAGAGAAACAAGAAATGTTATTTATCCACAGGCCAGTGGCCTCATTTTGATGTGTTTTAATGCCAAAATGCCAACAGACACATTAGCAGGTGTCCTCCACTGGGCATCCTGAGCCCAGCACATCCATCCAACCCAAACTGAATCACAACAAAAGCAAATCCTTTATGCCAAGATCTCATTTCTGTACAAACAACCAAGGGTGATGAGCTGCACACACTGCTGCCATCAGGGTCCAGAGACAGGGGGACATTTGCCTGCCTCTGCAGCCACCAGATGAAAATCCTGGACTTGAAAGCACAGGATTCCTGCCTCCCCACCATGGGCATTGGGGTGGGTTGGTCATGGATCATTGGGAGGGTTTTTTATTATTTTATTTCTTCCAGGATGTGGAATGATGAACCATTCAGCAGTGGCTGGTGTTGGGTGGGTCTCACTGAAGGGGCAGCTGTCCTGGCCTGTGCCATCACAGGTAAAGTGGCAGTGGTTAGTACCTGGGGTGATGTGGTGGATGATTTGAAGGACAGGAAGGAATAGGAGCTTGAATATCTTCAGGGATGTTGACCACATTCTGTGGCAAATGAAGGAAAGCTTAGTTTGTTGATCACATCCAGCATATTTACTCCTTTAGCAGAAATCACATTGAACTTCATTTTGAGCCCATTGAAAAATTTTGACATTGATAAAAATATTTTCTCATTGCCTTTGGATGAACCCCATTATTAGCTGATTCCTGTAACCAGTGTTATTTCTTATAAAGGACATGATCTGGGTTAATGACATTTAGTTAACCAGTTAATCTGCTTAAATCATTACTACTCAACTTGAAAGAAAGGGGGGCAATCCAGTTCCACCCATTAGTCAACAGGAAGCCTTCAAACATTTTTCAGGAAGGTTGCTTAAAATAATTATATTGTTGCAGCATATGGACTATTAATTTTTTTAAACATGAGGACAAGTGGCAGAGCGTAGGAATGAACATAAAGCTTTGTCAGGAATGGGGGAAGAGGCTCAGACTGGTGCCTATCAGGTGATCACAACTTGCAATTAATGAGAGCTGGGAATGAGTAATAGTTATTTTGGACAATAAAAAAAAAGAGGCTTGAAAACATCATGCAGTATCTTGCTGATTTTTTTGTTTGTTTGGTGATAAAATTTGTAGTAGAAAAGCAGCTACAAATTTATGGAATTTAATAGCTCCTGCACTGGGGAACAATGTCCTGTTTGAAATCTCTTGGACTGAAAGTCTCTGCCAGTGTGACTGGATAGGCAGACTGTTCAGCAGCTTTATTTGCTTGCAGAGACACAGTAGTGTTGTCAGCACATAAAGAGAGCAAACCTGACATCCTGGCAGTACAAAGGCTCAGTGAGGACCAGACTTGCTGATGAGAGCAGGATGGGCTGCACTCACCCACTGCTGGGGCTGCCTTGGGGTGTGCACTGAAGAGGACGTGGAGAAGGGGAGGGAGCTCCCTCTCCTCATCTCAGCTCTGCACTGTGCAGCTCCCAGGGAACTCATGGACACTGGCCATGGATGCCCAAGGGTGGAAGAGCTTGGGGAGGAAGCACAAGAGTGGGGACATGGGCACCAACACAGACAGGAGACAGTCCAGATGCCCCATCCTCTTCCTCCAAGCTGACTTGAATGAAATAATTTAAAATAATCCTCCCTGGCGCCGTGGCTTTCAGCTTGTGGTGTAGGGAACCCCAGAATGCCCAGCAGAGCTATGACTGTGTAAGTTACTGGCAACACTCCTGCTTTTCTTAGCTGCCTTCTCAGAAGCAGTGGGGGTTACAGGTGTCAGCACAGCTCACTGGAGGCAGCGGGAAATTTGCCTTTTTTCCCCCCACTTGCAACATTGGCAAGCCTCCAATCCACCCTTGTGCCAAGAAATGCAGGAGCCAGACCTGCTCTGGAGGTTTTACTCTGCTCAAGGACCAGCTGTGAAGATGTGCCCTTCAGCTGAAGGCAATTTTCCAGCTGCAGTGCACAGCTGGCCATGGTGGTGTTTGGGAGGACACGGGGTGTCTAGGGCTGCAAAGAGCAGTTGCACTGTCAGTCCTTGGTGGAATGTGCAGGGAGCCTGCAGAGCTCCTCCAGAGCAGGATGCTCTTAGGACAGCTGTGAGGCACATGGAGATGCAGATTGTGACCCTGTTCACAGGGGTCTTAGGACTTGACAAGGATCTGACTCCATGTTTCAGAAGGCTGATTTATTATTTTATGATATATATTATATTAAAACTATACTAAAAGAATAGAAGAAAGGATTTCATCAGAAGGCTGGCTAAGAATAGAATAGGAAAGAATGATAACAAAGGCTTGTGACTCGGACTCTCTGTCCAAGCCAGCTGACTGTGATTGGCCATTAATTAGAAACAACCACATGAGCCAATCAAAGATCCACCTGTTGCATTCCACAGCAGCAGATAATCATTGTTTACATTTTGTTCCTGAGGCCTCTCAGCTTCTCAGGAGGAAGAATCCTAAGGAAAGGATATTTCATAAAAGATGTCAGTGACAGTGCAGATCAGCTTGAATCTGAAGAGCCATGTGCCACCCATCAGTGCTGACAGGGTTATCCAGCTCTCCTCTCCTGCTGGCTCACCCACAGCACAGCCAGACTGGGTTGGGTGCTGCTTGCAAAGACGTCTTTGGTGCTTAAAAAACTTAAAAGCTGCACTGAAATTTACTCTGCTGTGAAGCTTTGCTGGCCCATCTCTTTCTTGGTGGCATCTGACTGAGAGAGCTGCACTGGCAAAAAGCCCTGGTGCAGATACAAATTGCTGCTGTGTTCCAGTAATTAATATGGTTTGGAGATAAGCTGTTTGGCTAGAGGATCAGTCCACCTCGAGTGTGCTGTGTTCTGCCAGAAGGATTTAACTCTTAGACCCTTATCTGTGCTTTGTGGTCCATGAAGTCACGGTGGATGTTTTGCAGCAGGGCTGTGGAGCCACACACTGAGCAGTGATTGATGGCTTGTGCAGTTCAGTTTGGCTCCTGGTCACCTCTGGGAAATGCTGAGGGGGAATAAAGAGATTGGTGGTGTCCTACCATTACTCTTCCCCCACACAAGGGATAAGAATTGCAAGGGCTCTTGGAAAAATACATCCTGAGTCTACCCAGCTTGCATATCACATTTAATTCTGCTTCTACATCTTGTCCCTTATGCGTCCTGCTGTGAATTTCTGCATGGCACCAGTCCTATATTTTTACTTTTTCTCTCTTTCTTTTTCTCTCTTTCTTTTTCTCTCTTTCTCTTCTTTTTACTTTTCCCCCCCTTTTTTCCCCTCCCCTCCTTTTTCTTTTGCCCATCAAACTTTATATTTTCTTTCTTCTTGTCTATTGTTCTAGCCTGTCTCATCATCAGAGGATATTCTTCCTGCCCCTATCACCTCTGAATTTGCAGCTACCACCCCAGCAAAACTGCCTTGTTGGCTAAACCTCGAGTGTTGTCTTTGGATTCCTGGCTCTGAATGCAGTGGGGACCAAATGGCTCACACTGGCAAATCAAATGGTCCTTGGCTCTTGAAACAGTGATGTCCAGGTTAATGTATTGGTGCTAAAATTTCCACCGCACTTTCAAGCAGGCAAAACAGATGTGAAAATAAATGGCTTTTGCCTGTGAAATAAATGGCTTTTGCCTGTGAAAACTTCATGGTGTTTTTATACCACGAGTTTATCAGTCTGCCTCTGTCAGGCAAAAGTCTATTCAGAGTATCCACTTGGTGGCTCATATTTATGAGCTGAGATTGCCCTGCTAGATTTGTAGGACTTACTTTTGGCTTTATTTCAGTTTACTCTTACTTACCCTGTTATTATCTTTTCCTGTTCTCTCCGTGGACAGGCCTATGGGAAGCCAATGAGGAATTCCTTCCCAGCCACTGGGGTAATGCAGGCTCCTTTATGGGATTGTGAACTCGACTTTATGAGCAGTCTTGGAGTAACAAGACAAATATGAACTCTCCTTGTCATTTACTGACTGTATTGATGTATTGATTAAGCACTGAAACGACCTGGATTTTAACACTGAGTGCAGTAGAGACTGCAGTAAAATGAGGCTGAATATTTGCACAGTCCTGGCCCTCCTTTCTCTCCAGTCTGGCTTGCACCAGATGATGCAGCAGGGCAGATGTTCCCCTCCCTTCACTAGGTGCTTTTAACCAAGTGCAGAATGTGTAAAACACTGCTTTAAATGCGATTTCTAGGTCATAAATTAGCTGGGTATTGCTTACTAGAGTGAATAACTATTTTGGGTCACTTCCAAGGCTTTGTTGCAGGTCTGTGTGTCTGGGGTTCTGCTAATGAACCTCAACACAGAGCTTGACCACCACAGCAGAAGGACAAGGTGTAGATGGGAATATTGTGTGGGATGGACCTGGTGTGTGGACCATGAACAGGTCTGAGCTGGGAGCTCTGTTTTTAAATTTGTGCTTAGTTTGTGTTTCTGTTTTCAATTTTCATTGATGTTCTCCACACCCAGATTGCCCCAGATCCACCTGTGAGTGGCCAATCTTTGCCAAATTCTTCTCCCATTGCACTTTGTTTGGGAGCTTTTTGGGACTGAACTGCACCCGTGGAAGAGCCTTCAGCCAGACAGCAGCAATGTTCACTGCACTGACAGGAATGGGACATAAATTGTCTGCTGAACTCTCAGAACATCTTCAGTTTGATTAATGGAGCAAAGCAACACATAAATCTCTGTATGACACCGAGCTAGGATGCAATATCTCAGCCTCACTTAGCTGTGGCACTGGAGAGTGGATTTGCACATCAGGGAGAATTTTTCCATGCCAGTGAAGAGGTGCTTGCAGAACCCAAAGACTGTGAAACCCCCAGCCAGAATATACACAGTGTCTAATGTGACATCAGACAGGAAAAGTCACCTATTTATTCTAGTGCCTTCCTGCCAACAAATTAAGGTCCAGCTACTTCAGAGAAAGAAGCCAGGAGCCTGTGAGCAAGCAGGGATGGTAGCACCTGCCTGGGTGGAAAGG